ATGGATGAACAAGAACCTTTGGTTGTGATGATGATGCAAGTGGTAAATCATCAGTAGTAGAAGTGGAAGATGGAGGAATAAGAACCTCTGGTTAAGAAGATGTTGTGTCTGGACTATAAGAAACAATGGGACGAGATCGAGATCGCTGATAAACCTGCAAAGGAGGATTAGAAGGTGGATCCAATGGCATTGGAAGAATAGGAGAAGATAAGGAAGGCTCCCTCTCACGAGTAGATATGACATCTAGTAATAAATGCTCACCAGATGATGAAAAGAAAGCATGGGACTCAAAAAAAAGGTAACATAGAGGGCATTCGGTTAATGAGATGACAAGCAGTAAGAACGGCATCGGCCCAAAAATGTTTTGGCACTTGCATATTGAATAACAAAGTATGAGCGACATCCAATAGATGGCGATGATTTCGCTCAGCAACACCATTCTGTTGAGAAGTGTGAGCACAACTAGTCTGATGAATGATACCACGATCAGCACAAATGGAATTCACGATAGACTGTGTATACTCTTAAGGCATTATCAAATCAAATTTTTTTAATGCTCTTACCAAACTAAGTAAGAATTTCATTGTAAAATATAGCAACGATACGAGGTAACTCAGATCTCTCTTTCATATAGAATAACCACGTCATTCCAGAATAATCATCAACGAAGATGACAAAATAAAGGAATCCGTTCAAACTGGCGGTTCTAGAAGGACCCCAGATGTCTATGTGGACTAAATCAAAGGACTCGGCCTGACGTCTATGACTACGACTCGGGAAAGAACTACGATGATGCTTACCCAACTGACAAGCTTCACACTCTAGAACAGAGATATGACTCAATGAAGGAATAGCTAATCGTAACTTTGCTAAAGATGGATGACCCAAACGAAAGTGCCACTGAAAAGGAGAGACTGTAGCACTCAAAGCTGATGACAAGATTGGCTTGGGTTTACCAGAGTCTAGATAATATAACCTGTCTTTCTCATGTCCCGAACCAATCACCTTCTTTGTCTTAAGGTCCTGACAGAAAGTAAATTAAAAGGAAAATTAGGAACATAGAGACTCAAAGATAGTGAAAACGAATCGGTAGGGTGAAGGACACCTTTTCCACGGACAGGCTGAGAAGAACCATCAGCTAAAACAATGTCATGATTAATAGGATTTAAATAAGAGAAAAGAGACGATGTCCCCGACATATGTGAGCTAGCTCCAGAGTCAGTGACCCAGGATTGAGAGGATTTTGCGACACATCCAATATTACCTGAATTAGCCAAGGTGGCAGTTGTAGCAGTGGAAGTGGATGAACGAGTAGTTTGCAAAGTCTGAATAAGCTTGCTAAGTTGTGTAATAAGTGCATCTTGAGAACCAAAATCAGAAGCTACGAGTCCTGAAACATAAGGCTGCAATGGTTTACACTCCATGCCATGTCGTCCACTAGGATGGCCACCACCACGGGAACCACGAGAACCAGCCCGAAAATAATATTGTGGTTTATGGCATCCATGAACAAAACTTGGACAAAAAATTGGAATAAATCAGAATTCCAAAGTCAGAATTATAGGCCAGTGTGTCATGAATAATTGTGAACGAGATTAAAAACATGCTGCCTTAGCAAAAGTACTGGTCCAGACTCAAATCAAAAGCCAACAATGAAGCTGAATTGCATTTCCACAGAAGAAATCTCAGAAGCAAAGAAAAAACAGTGTATATTCGATTTCAGAACCACAAAAGATCTGTTCAACTGATCCTTAGAGCCACATAAATTGTTCCAAATTCAGTACATAATCCAAGAATCAACAACTATAGTCTTTCCGAGTCCAAACACATTAAATAAGATGAAGCTTCACATGAACAATAGCAACATCCCTATGAGCAGTGCTGAAAAAAACACCCAGCGGCAGTCCAGATTTGCTAAAAAACTATGCAACACCTTGAATCTTCCAACCAAACTCAACACAATGATTCAGATAGCCAAGACACATCCCTCTGTGTTGGATTGAAGCAAAGGAAGCAGCCAAAAAAACCCCAGAAAAACAGATAAAAAAAAAGGGATAAAATCCAGAAAAAGTTTCAAAAATTGGAAAGTCAACTCAAACAACCTCATAATGGAGACCAAACACCACCATAATTATAAAAAAATTCAGGCGAGTGACCCCATATGGTTCTCGGCCTGTAATTGCCTGACATCAGCATGACATCATGCTGACATCAGCGTGTGCACTTGGACAGTCAACCTGCTGATTTACTGAAACTCTCTTTGGATGTGTTCCTGGATTCACAGCCTAGCGTTAGATTGGATAACAGTATGGTTTTGGGTTAGAGAGGAGGAGGAGGAGGAGAAGGAGAAGAAGAAGAAGAGAGAATCTGGTACGTGTATTTAGTTCTACACACCACCTCTCCTATTTATATTAATTAAGAGAAAATACAATAATGTCCTTAATAATCAAAATAAACTCGAATAGTTAGGAAAGATATTCACCTTAGGCACATACATGAAGAAGATGTGAATATGTAAGGAGCCATACAGGATTTGGTTCATGCAGTATGCAAATATGCTCAGAATCAATATGCCTATGTGGATCCAAAAGTCAGTTGATGATAGCAATGAGGGAATTGAGGTGCCATAATCCTCCCATCTTCAAGGCGACTAGCAACTGCCGAATAGTGGAGGATTGGCTCAAACAAGTTGGAAATATTTTTAAAGTCCTTCAGATATAGGAAGGACTAAAGGTAAGGCTGGCCATGTATCAATTTTGTGGTAAAACCTGCCAGTGGTGGAAGCTGGGAACCCAAATTCTGGATGAAGAATGGATGACTTTGGAAGAGTTTAAGTAGTAGTTCTTGGAGAAATATTATGCTGTTGTGGTGTTGATAGCACTGGAAAGAATGTTGGATGAGGCAAAGTTTGCAGAGTTCTCAATATTTGTTTTTTTTCTCTTTATTAATCAGCAGGAGTAAACTAAGGTTAGGAAACTTTAATTATGGTTTTGATTTACCTCTACCATTGGAGGATCTCCTTGAGGGTTAAAGAATTTGGGAGGCCCAGTCAATTGATCGAATCGCTCATCTGATCAATCGAACATAGGCATAGTGGATTGATTGAGCATGAAAGACTCAATTCAACATGTGCATTTTCTGTTTGTAAATACTTGATCAATTGATCTCTTCAACACTTTTCCCTCTAGAAACTTTTAAAATCTTCGTCTTCTCGCGCACTCTTTTCTTTTACCTAGTTGTTCTCACTCACTCTTCCATTGTTCCATATTATAATTTGTGTTCCCTCTAGTTTCCTTTTGGGACCAGGGTACTAGATTGTGTGCCCGGTGACACCTTGAGAAGGAGCAAATTGATGCTTTCGTAGGGTCCATTGCTAGGGACAAAAATCCGAGGCACCTTCATCACACTGATAGTCCACCATGAGAGCTTAGTGTGCTTTTCTGACTTTTTCGAGTTCCTAGTTGGTGATTGGTTTAGGACTCAGGCATTGACCCCTATTTTTCCACTTGCAAAGCTCACTACTCTTTATGTGTTGTGGTTCTATTTGTGATGGGCAACAGTAAGTGCCTCCTCTAGCCATCTTGTAGACATTTCAACAGTTGGAGAGCTCCCATAGTATTCATCCAATCAGATTTTAGGTTAGCAAACAAACTCACCACCAACTGATCAACTAGTCCCCCATCATATACGTCTTAAAACTACCACAGTTATTCTATGGGTAACATGGATAGAGAATTTAAAGTTCTTTATGTGTGTAGGTAATACGTGGATTAATCCCCTCTTTTCTCCTCATTTGGCACTCGTCAAATTGGATGCCTTCAACAAGCATGTTGTTGTATCTAACACATTTCTCGTGTCAGTGCCATCGATGTGTCGTGATGACATGGGTACTCTTGGCTCCAACGCCAAGTCTGGGTAACATAGACACCAAAGTGCCTTGGAGTGCCAACAAAACAATATATCAAAGTTAAGCTTCAGTTTCTTGGTGGGAGGAGTGTTGTCATGGGGGTTAGACTTAAAATGCTGACATAAGAGAGACACAGCTTTCACACCCATCAAGATCAAGGAAAGTGGAACCTATTGAACTCTTTGGTGATCTATAGCCTAAGTGTATCTACATCCTAAAATTTTCATTCAAACCTACTTAATAGGTGATTCCTCATCTGTGAAGTTTTTAAATTCTTTTCATTCAGATAACTCAAACCATTACCATGATTGTTCATTGCCACAAAATTTCGGCTCTTTCCACCTTTTGAAAACCCTTAAATGGAGTTCTAAGGAAGGAATGAGTTTCGAAAGGGTCATCCAACAATTGCATGGTAAAGCCAAAAATTTCTGGGCAAAGTGAATCAAGAGACGGATAGAGATTGCTTAAGATATCCCATCCATGGAACTGAGACATTTGGACTAGACTTCGTTGGGTATTTTAGTTTAATGCATCTAATTGGTATTAAGTTTCGTATGAGTCACTGACCAAACTAAAACCTTGACTTTAGGAGGAAGCGTGATCTTTAAAATAAGCTTTGTTGGAGGGAAAGGAGTTGACAGATTTTAAAGGTATAAGTTTGTGTTTGACATATATGTGTGCATTATAGATCACCAAAATAATCCACTATGCATTGTTCCTGCTAATATGCTGATTCTGCAAAGGAAGTATAATGGCCTCTGGTTTTTTTTTGTTGGTCTGGATAGATAGCTCAGAAACTTGCATAGACACGGTTGATTCCGTCCATTTGTTGTATTTTCTTTTAACTAAATCTACAAGAGAAGATGAATATTGACTAGAATTTTGTTTGGAAGTCAGGGGAGAATATCATGATAGGAGTTCTTTAAGTCTTGATATTATATTGATAGGAGTGATTTATGGGTTTGATTTTAGGAATCCTCTATCATTGTAAACAAAACTGAGAAAATATAATAAAAATGATGTAGCCCTTTGGCCTTTGTGTGCCACCTGAGAAAAAGTTGAGAAATCTTATGATAATTGATTTGTTGTGCAGTGCTTTACAATCTCCTGGGTCAAAACGTTCTGAGATGTTGGTTGATCAGAGGGATAACGTTGTCCTTACTCCCAAGAATGTGCAGGTGGGTTTGGTTCCACATCTATAATAAATATTGTTTGCACATGCAGCTGTGAGCCTGTGACTCACTCACCCCCGTCTTTTGCGGTTCATAAAGGATCTGTTATATTTTCAAAACATAAACTTTCTAGTTGTATGCAATTTAATTTTATTTGCTCTTGCAAGTCAGGCCTTAAGGACTCTCTTCAACATAGCTCATCGATTACACAATGTGTTGGGCTCTTCTTGGGTTTTGGTATGTTGTTCTTGTTTCTTATCCATTTGAAAATTGATGAAGCATATCATCTTTGCCTTAGCTGTTCAATTTTTCTAGGTGTTGGAGACTCTAGCAGCTCTAGACCGAGCAATACATTCTCCGCATGCGACGACACAGGTGATTCAGGATAGTTATATTTTTTTTCCCTTCTCCATTTTTCTTTTTTCTTTTATTTTTATTGTTTTCTTTCTTCTGGAATAGTATCTAAAGGTTTTTTTAATGAGTTTTTTCAAATGTGCTTTATCTATATGATTCATTTACACTTCTTCAATTATCGTCTGGATAATAGATCTGACAGCGATGGTTTATTTTCTCACTTCATATGTTGTTGGTTGATAGGACCTTTTTTCCCCCTTTATGTTGGTGATTATGATCTTTTAACATCTTTTGGGAAATTTGAAGCAGTTCAGTCTCAGAGATATTATCACATGGGCTGATACCATTGGCACCTTTTGTAATGCAAAATCATCTATTAAGATGAGAGGAGTCAAAGTTAAAATCCATGCAATTCAAACTCTAAAATAAGCTGGGAGTATTACCCAGGAGAGAGTGTTTAAAAGGTCGCCACCAGCAATATTCAATTTTAATTTTTATTCCTAACAGCTAAAGGATAGTCGTGTTATCATTACATTAGTTTTCAAAACTAACTCGTTTAATGATAAATAGACAATATATACTAAAATACCTTATAACTGAAAAAGGTAAGGCAATAATAACTATCAAACACTAATTCTTATTGTGGCCATTCGTAGACGCCTAAACTGATTCTAATTAATTTGTTGAACTGATAACTCAACTCAATTTAACAAAGGCTTTCCCCAACCGTGAGCCGTTTACATTACTTCTACTTCGTCATTCTGTCTCTTTAAGGCTATAACTCAGTTAAAGAAATGCAATTACATCTTTTGCTAACAACCTTCACCTAGGTTAGTTTTGGTGTTCCCCATCCCCTTAACCCTCAAGGACCATGACGCTTTTCCTAAACCACTGCAACTATTGGTCGGCTCATCACTGAACCAGCAAATTAGGTTCTCTTTCATTTATTTCCAATTGGTGCTACTTTAACCATCTCAATGTGTTCATTTTTAATTCCATCTTTCTTTTGTCTTTCCACACATCCATTTCAGTAAATACTCATTTTGCCTAATGTGTGTGTGTGTTTTTTTTTTTTCCCTCGTAAGGTATGGCTGGTCTAACAGTTTGTGTTTTTTTTTTTTCCCTAGTAAGCAAGTGTAATAGTGTTTTTTTAAAAAACTTTTTACCATTCACATTGAAAAGTATACGCTGATCACACAAGTTTTCTGAAGCACTCCTCCATTATTTTACCCATCCAGTTTGTCCCTCTCTGTGCATAATCATGCCTATGTCACACAAGCATTGACTTTTTGGTTCATCTTGACCCTTGATTTTTAGTACATCCCTACTTGTTTCTATAGTTTTACTAAAGTTACATTTCATATATTAGCTTCGTCCTAACCCTCTTGATTCTAAAGTTTCTCTCCAAACCTCTGGTTTAGCACTTATCCTTGCTCTAGTTTCATCAGTCAAATTGATATCATTAGCAAATACTTTACACCATTGAGATCCCTCTAGTTTAGCACTTATTCTTGCTCTACTTTCATCAATCAAAATGATATCTTCAGCAAACATCATATACAATGGAACCTTATCTTTAATGTGTTAAAGCGATGAAATGGTGATAAGGCTCTGGATCTAGACGGATTTATTATAACTTCCTTCCAACAGATCTGGGAGGTGGTCAGTTCAAGAAGGAGGTGATCGAGTTTCCTTTACCGAAAAAGCATGCCTTTGAGGGATGAAGATTCCTTTACTGAATATTGAGTTACTCATTTTTAGTATTTGATTATAAATGGTTCTCTGAATCCACCAAATCTCCATTTTAAGTTTTGAAAAGGTCAACTATCTCTTTTGTCAAATGATTATTCAATGGAACGCCTTCTTTCCGTAACAACAAAATCAGAATCTTCCTCTGTTAAAACAATAGCAATCATCATACTCAAAGCTGCATGAGGCCTTCCAAAAGAGTTAAAATCTCCATTTGGTATTGAATATGATGCAGCTACTTAGAGAATTCAAGAATCGGAACATTAGAAGCATCTCTAAAATTGCCTCCAAAAATCAATTGGCCCGAGTGAGTATTCGCCAAAGTTTAATTTGATTTCTCGTTAAGGTTAAGGCATAGAGATTGTAGAAATAACATTACTTAGTATGTGAGATGAAGACACGAACTAATCACTCATGACTATGATTTGTGGTATCCTTTGTATTTTTTTGAAAACTGGATGCCTGTAAAGAAGCTAGAAAATGAAACGTATCCTAGGTTCCCTCCTTAGAAGAGATCTTGCTTTTCCCTTCTATCCAGGCAACCAAATAATAGCCACCAAAGCACAACCACAAAGAGTCTTTGTTTTGTCACCTGGTCCAAATCCTCCAAAGGAAGTGGTATGTAAAGAGCTAATGTCCCTTGAAGCAACCCACATAATACTGCAAGTGCGACCAACGTATGCCAAAGATAAAGGGGCAACAAAAGATGGGCTGAAAGTCTCACACACCTCTTACAAACCATACAAATGCCTAGGCTCACGACTTTATGATATAACCTTGAATAACTTGAAGAGATTTTTTAGATTAAAACCTTCAGCAATTCAAGTTATATAAATTCATTGATATCTTTGGCAGCCTGCAGGGTCTCATTGAAGGTCACATTCAAATTCTTTCTAAGCAATTATGTGTCGCTAAGTGGATCTCTTCCTAATCATAGCTATTGTGATTATTTGTAATTGAGCCTATTGTTTCCTCTTTAAAATACTGTCTTATGGAAAACATTAGATCAATTTTTTTTTTTCCTTTCTGAAGTTAATAAATAAATAAATAAAACAGTAGTGGCAGGACGTATAACCTGCTTTATAGCTTTGTTGTGTTGGTAGTGGCCTTAGTGTCACATTGCACAGATTTTCTGCATTTATATTGTTCATGGTTCCCAGTCAAATCAGTTGGTGGTTGCTTCTTCTTGTTCAGAGAATGGTTGGATGTTCAGGTCCTTCATAATAACTCATGAATTCATGAATTTACTTTTTATAAATATATATATATATATATATATATATATTTTTCTCTGTTTCTTGTTTTTGTTTCGGATAGGAGGTCTCCACAGCTGTGAAAAAGCTTACAAGAGAATCGTCTGGTCAATACAGTGACTTCAATATCCTCTCGTCCTTAAACTGTCAGGTTTGCTTCTATAAAAGAAGAAAAAGAATTCATTCGTGTATTATGCATAAATTGCATAGTCTAACCAATTTTTTCTTCTCTGATGTGAAGTTGTTTGAGAGCTCAGCACTCATGCACATGTCTGCAGTCAAGTCGCTTCTTTCTGCACTATGTCAGTTGTCACATCAATGTATGGTTGGAACTCTTAGTGGTTTTGGACAAGCTTCAAGTCAAAAGATTGGAAGCATCAATTTTTCAGTGGAAAAAATGATATCCATCCTTGTCAACAATCTTCACAGTACGTACAGAAAATAAGTTTCAAGGAGTTTGTTTTCCTTATTCCTTCTTTTTTTTTTTTTTTATGGGACTTACCTGTAATTCTGCACTTCAACTTCATGACTATATAGTATATACTAAAGATTGTGAGACTTTACAAATTATCCACCCTAGTCCCTAGTAATTTTTCTTTTGTTGCATTTTGAACCTGGATTTTTCTTGAAATTCTTCAAATTTAATTTAAGAAATGGTGCTGTTTTTTGTTTTTTATTATGCAACAATATTGAAGCAAACAGAAATGAACACAAGTCTTCTTACAACAGTAAGGAAGACTAGAAATACTCCAATCACCGTCGGAGACTAGATTTCTAAACAGAAATCTGGGAAAATCCTAAAGAACTGTTTATAAACTGATAGTAACTCAAATTGATATTTATTATGACCTGATAAAGAGGGCTATCCCTATTATAATACTACTATTAGTGACACTTGACATATCCTAGAAAGACTTTTAGAATTCCCACACAACATTAATCAGAGTTTACCACTTTCCCAAGTATACTTAGTAATTGCAAAGCTTAGTAAAACAAGGATTCTTTGACTTTTCTTCAAGGCACTTTCCAAGGCACCATTGACTGCCTCAATCCTGACTAAAGTACCCTTAGTGATTTACATCAAATAGCCTTATTTTTGTTGTATCATAAATCTGTACTTTCAAGTATTTGTATTACAGTTTTGCATTATTATAAGAACTGTTAAAGCCTATCATTTTGTCATAGTTAACTCCATTTTTTCTAACTTGTTACTCAAATTACATCAAGTCAACCATCACTTCCCACAGCATTTGAGTCGGACAACTCATACGATTTCAATCTTGCACAACTCTGATTGTCCCCATTATATGCTGCTCAATCAATCAAACCTCCAAGACTCAACCTTGAGTAATTGAATTCCATGTCGTGTAACTCATCACGATTTTCTAACCATCGTGACCAAACAAGCCGATTGATTGACTCCACTTGCAACAAAAATACATTGCAGCACCTGTTGAGACTTCATGTGTTCTCTGAATCTCTTCACATAAATGTTGAACTTCCCAATGTGAACCTTCGGCTCTAATATCACTAGTTGTTGCAGTGGAAGCAATCAGGAAGATGGAGATTCAATGTAAAGGCAACAAAGCAATCACACACAAACACAAGATTTACGTGGTTTGGCACGACCCTGCCTAATTCCACTGATGGGAAGAGATTTCACTATTATTCTGTAAAGATAGTACAACAATAGAGAATACCCCATGTGCACACAAACTCTTGCTCTAGAGTTCTTCTCCGTGTACTTCTCTTGCCATCAATGTTCCCTCCACCCTACCATCCTATAAACCACATCTCTACTAGGCGTGTGAGGTAGAGGATTAGAAACTCTCACACCCCCATCAACTCCCTCATGAGACTACTTCCCTCCACTGTACTGTTGTAGGAAGCACAGATACTATTAATAGAGCAAAGAATCCGTGTCAGACACCGACATGCGTTGGACAAGTCCCAACACGTGTTGAACACGTAAAAAAAAACGCGTCTGATTTTTTTTTTTTGAATATTCGGATATGCCGTGCACACGCCATGGATATGTGTACGGCACGCATATCCCATTCCTGGGGATTTTTTTTTTTTTTTTTTTTCTGTTGTGATAAGGCACATGGGGATTCTAAGAAAGTTTGAAAAAAAAGCGAGGTTGAAGTGTAAATATTTTTTGATAAGTAGTTTGAAGTGTAAATATGAGGAGTTGTTTAATAGCTTTCTGTAATATGATGGTCATTACGTAATTACTTAAAAGTTATTGTTTTATAAAACAATTTTATATTAAACAATCAGATATTTATGCTTATATTTTAGCTCAAAGGTTCTAACTCTTGCATGATCATCTTTGACTCTCTCTTGTTCTCCCACCGACCAAGCTTTGCTCCCTGTGGATGGTCTCTCTCTCTCTTCTTGCTCCTCTTTTCTCTTCTTTTTTTGTTCTCCACCTTTCTTTCTTTCTTCTTCTTCACAAACCACAGATATTTCTTTTTTTTTCCTTTCACAACAAAATTATTTTTGCGTCTTTTTTTGTTCTTTACCTTCTTGTTTCCATGAACTTTTTCTCTTCTATGGATTCTTACTAAGCCCTAATTCTTTTTCTAACAAATCCTAATCCTCTTTGTTTCTTTGTTTTTTTCTCTTTCTTAACCCTCTTTCTATCATTCTTTCTTTTTCTACGCAAAACACAATTTTAATTTTTTTTTTTTTTTTTCATTATTAGGTTGATAAAAATATATTACTCTTAATTTCTTAATGTAAAACTCTATATATTATATAAATAAATTTGTTATTCGTCGTGTTCGTGTCCTAATTTTTTAGGATTTGCCGTATCACGCAAATGCAAGAGGATTTTCTTCAAATAGTTGAAGATCCTAAGAAGACTGGGTTGATATTGCATTAATAGGGGCAACGTTGTTTATGGGTTGTAAATCTGTTTTAATTTTATGTTTAATTTTTACCTTAGGCTCTAGTTAGGGTATAATTGTCATTTTGGTTTTATTTTATTAGTCATGTGCCTTTTAAGTGAGTCATGTGACTATTTAAGGGCTGTTTTGCCATTTTTTTAAGCTCTTTATTCTGCTCGACAGAATACTAGCCTTTAGATTACATTTATATGAAGGGCTAGGATTAAATCTTTGCTAGGGCATCCTTTGTGTCTTATACAATGGTTGTTCCAAGTTGTAATCAGCAGTTTATTTGTATTATCAATATATATTGTGTCTGCTACTTCAGCTTTTTACCTCTCCCTTTCTTTGGGATTGAGTTGTGGGTGTTTAATCTATTCTTTAGATTGATCTAGCTCTCTGTTTTCCTTCTTCTAGATTTTTTAGTTTATTTTTCGTAGCTGATTGCATTACACCGTGTCTTCGTCTGTGTCGTATCCGTTTTCCGTATCCGTTTCGTGCTTCTTAGGAATTAGGGCTACTTCCTCATTCAATCTCATTCATCTCAACCCATAACCTATGTATCTATTTATAGAGTCCAAAACCCAATTCCTTGTTGGACAAGGATTACTAACAAGAAATTACCTAATAAACAAAAAATTCTAAAATAGAAACCTAATTAGACTTGGAATTTGAGATAGAGTTCCTAACATGATCTTCCACACTTTGCTCCACATCTTAATGTCATACATTTATTATGACTTCCTCAGAAATTGTGTTTCTATTATCTTTGTGATTTTGCATATAGAATCTTTAAACTACAAGAAATCATATGAATTTAGGATGCCTAGATCATGTCTTTGTTTTATGATTTAGTGTCATCATTCATTTTGTTCTGAGGTTATGTACTGTGTTATAGGGGTCGAGCCACTATGGGATCAAGTCGTTCGACATTTTCTTGAGGTGATTTACAATATTATTTTCCTATGTTGCTTCCACTATATGGTTTTTGACATAAAAATGTTTTGCAGCTTGCCGATAGTTCTAATCAGCAGTTACGAAATATGGCACTTGACGCCTTGGATCAATCAATTTGTGCTGTTTTGAGTTCAGATCAGTTCCAGGACGATACACCACCAAGAGCACACAGTACTTCTAATGATGTCAGATTTGTGATCTTTGTTTGTTTGTTTGTTTTTTTTTTTTTTTTGTTTGTTTGTTTGTTTGTTTGTTTGACATTGCCATAGTCTTTTTTAACATGTGGTTTGTCACTCGTTTTTCTTCTTCTCTCCCTAGATGAATAACTTGCATACCTATTTGAGATCACTCGAGTGTTCTATCATATCTCCATTAAGGGTACTCTATTTTTCAAATCAAAGTGTTGATGTTCGTGCTGGATCTCTAAAAATTCTTCTTCATGTTTTAGAGGTAATTATTACACCTAAAGTATTGTATATAGCTCCTCTCTTTCATCAAGGTTTTCAAACTATGCTTTTTGGCTTTCCTATATTTTTCCAGAGGTATGGAGAGAAGTTGCGCTACAGCTGGCCAAATATTCTTGAAATGTTGAGGTTTTTGCCTTTTACTTGCAGAATTCTATTATTCGCTAATGTGATTCTAGTACTGTTTCTACGGATGACCCTTTTCTTCTTTATTTTAAGGTCTGTAGCTGACGCATCGGAGAAAGATATTGTCTCTCTAGGGTTCCAGGTTAGAGAGCAACATGTCTTGGCCATTAGGGAATGTAAAAAAGTCATGCTAGTTTTGTATTTTCTGTACTATATATGTGGTGATGCTGTTGTCAGCCTTTTTCATGTCTAGCATGCCAGTTTAGTCTATAAGAAATAATCAGAGTGAAATAACTAATCTATGCCACAAAATTCTTTTATTATTTATTTAAATTTATTATAGGCACACATTGGATCTTTTATATTTTTTATAGTAGTCATATAGTATGAGATCATTGGGATTGTTGTTCATAGAAAGGCACTCAAGAGAGGAGCTCCCACAGGAATACACAAAAACGCCAAAGGCGACAACTAAAGCTTTAAACTATCCACAAAATCCAAAAGATCCCCCAAAGATCTACAGTTCCGCCCGTTAACCCAAAAAAATAAAGTATGCAATATAGTGTATTTAAGAGACCAAAAAGGAGTCTCCTTGCCCTCAAAATGTCTCCTATTTCTCTCGTGCCACAAACCCTAGCAAAGACAAAGGGGAGTGGCCCTCCAAACAACCTTGGCCCGGCTCTCCGCTAGACACCCTTTCCAAGCCTTAATCAAATCCACCGTGGTTCTAGGAAACACCCAAATTATGCCAAAAGCAACCAAAAACATTGACCAAACATCCCTTGCTACTGGATAGTGAATAAGGAGATGATTCACTGATTCCTCCGTCTTCCTGCACATACAACACCAATTAACCATGATCTGTCGTCTCCTCCTAATATTGTCAAGGGTGAGAATGCACCAAACAAAGAAGGCTACCTTCAAGGGAGCTATCGACCTCCAAATCGCTTTCCAAGGGAAGGAATAGCCTGGGATCACCGACAGCAAATGATTGAATGCGCTGACCTTAAACAGTACTCTCGGTGAGCCCACCCACACCATCTCATCCATCTCTGCACCCTCCACCGTACAGCAGGGCCAAAAACTCAACAACCTCCGCAAGCTCCCAATCATGGAACTCTCTACGAAACTGCATGTCCCAGGTCAACCTTCCATTATCAAGACGATAACAGTTAGCAACCATGGCGTGTTGGTTTGAAGAAATCCTGAAAAGCCGAGGAAACCTACGAGGAAGAACACAATCCCCACACCAACGGTCCTCCCAAAATTTGACGTGATTCCCACTCCGAACCTTGAAACGGATGCATTTAGAAAACTCGTCCCACCCCTTCCGGATACCCTTCCAAACACCCAGCACTGCTGGAACTCTCACCTCCCTTGACAGCTACCCAACATCTCCCTCTCCATACCGACAATCAAAAATCCTCCTCCAAAGAATAGACGTCTCCCTCCCAAATCTCCACAGCAATTTGCCTAGCAGCACCTTCTTACACAACTCCAGTCTCCGAATACCCAAGCCCCCCCTCTAAATAGGGGAGCACACCTTCTCCCAATACACCAAGTGGTATTTGAACTCGCCTCCAACACCACCCCATAAAAAGTTCCTCTGAATCTCATCCAGCCTCTCAATAACAGCCTTTGGCATAAGGAACAGAGACATGAAGTAAGTTGGAAGATTTGAAAGGGAACTTTTCAAAAAAGGGTGAGCTTTCCTTTCCCCCTTTTGAGAGATACTGCTTCTTCCACCCTGCGAGATGCCTCTCGAATCGCTCAATCACAGGATCCCACGCTGAAATCCGCCTCGACACAACACCCAAAGGAAGCCCCAAGTAGGCAATCGGAAAGGTGCTGGCACCACATCCTAGAATGTTAGCAAGATCCTGAATACCATCAATGACCCCCACTGGAACCAACACACTTTTGCCCATGTTAATCTTTAGCCCTGAGACGACTTGGAAGCAGGCCAACACACAGCTAGCATCACAAAAAACAATCGTGTCATCCGTAAAAAGCAAATGAGAGATAACCATCTAATTTGGGCTGCTACCCACTGAAAACCCCCGAATAAAGCCCAACTCTTCCGCCCTGCGCATTAGCCTGCTAAAAGCCTCCATGACAATGATAAACAAAAAGGGAGAGAGTGGGTCTACCTGGCGCAAGCCTCGAGAACTCGCGAAAAAACCAGTTGGGGAGCCATTCACCAAAACTGAGAATCGTGCAGTCGAGATGCAATGGTAAGCATTCTGGCATATACATAAAAAGTTCCAACAAACGTGATCATAAGCCTTTTCGATGTCCAACTTACACACAATCCCCAGGACACTACTTCAAACCCTGGCCTCAATGCACTCACTAGCAACCAACACCGAATCCAAGATTTGATGCCCGCCAACAAAAGCATTATGGGATTCTGAGATCACCTCATCCAACACTTTCCTTAGCCGAATAGCTAAAACTTTGGTGATGATCTTGTAGACAGCACGAACTATACTGATTGGTCTGAAATCCTTAGCATCAACAGCCCCGCCCTTCTTTGGAATCTGGGTAATAAAAGAAGCGTTTAGGGACTTCTCAAAATACCCTTTTGAATGAAAAGAACACAAGGCAGTCATCACCTCCGGCTTCACAACCTCCCAATTCTGCTGGAAGAAAGCCAAAGAAAAGCCATCCGGCCCTGGAGCTTTATCACCATCGCAGCTCCTCAATGCCTCCAAGACCTTCTCCCCAAATTGTCTCTCAAGCCAATCCCTATCATCAGAAGAGATCCCTGAGAACTCCAGCCCATCAAGCAACGGCCTCCAGTGAGTTGTCTCCGTAAGGAGATCTTGAAAAAAAGTCACAAAGCCAGTCCGTATATCCTCTTCCTTAGTCACCAAATTCCCATCAGACCGAATCCTTCCAATAAAGTTTCCTCTTCTATGCGCATTAGCCATCCGATGAAAGCACTTCGTATTCCGATCACCTTCTTTCAACCAAAGAGCTCTAGATTTCTGTCTCCACGAAATCTCTTCCATCACCGCGATCTCTCCAATCTCAGCCTTTTGCATTCCTCCCTCCGGTTTACCTCCAACTCACTAGGTCTCCCTCTCCCTCTCCCTCAACTCACTATTTGTTTTTTTTTTGTTTCAAAAAGAAAAAGTTGAGAATGAATGTTGGTTATAATTCTTCTTTATTATATAATTTTCTGGCACCAACGCGGAGTGAAATAAAACTTTTACTCTTTATACAAGGGGATAAAAAGTAGATTCTATGTATGAGAGAATATATGGTCTGAGGTCCATAGAAAACTGAATTCAGATAAATGTTGATTGCACAGCTAGATGATGAACTACCTTTCCATCTCTACATAAATTTAAGTCCAAACATTTCAACTCAACGTTCTGTGTACAACGTCTATAGTTCCTTACAAATCCGTAAACCTTTTGCAAACGGTTGCTTGTAGACCCTTAATCATCTTTGGTTTTGACAAATCCCCTTATTGCCTAGCCCAAAAATGTTACTTCTCCACCTGCAGCTGTAGAGCAGTTGTTGTTTTCTTGGTACTCTCACCATCGCACATCTTAAATCCTTAAATGTAATTAAAGTTACTGGAATGATATATTCCAAATTGTGGAGGATAGAACACCTAAGATCGCCTTATTGTTGACGCAAATTGCTGTAACAGTAGACATTTTAAAGTGATAATGAACTGCTTATTCCTACATTTAGTTTTCAGTTGCTCAGCTTCAATTTTTCTGTACTTCATGGAGACCTCAAACTAGATATTTATAACCCCTCTCTCTCTCTCTCTCTCTCTCTCTCTCTCTCGGTTCTGTAAAATATCTTCCATTCTGTTGGGCTATGCAAGTTAAATTTTAACCACTTCCTTTTTCATGCATGCTTGTTGACAATCATCTTCATTTGTTTATTCATATTTTTTTCATGCTTACTTGGTGGTAATTTATAACCTTGTTTACTGTCTGTTGTGTAAATGATGCCAGATGCTTCTGTTAATGTTTTCAGATTCTGAAAACGTCTATTATATGTACACATAATAGTAATTTGATCTGTATATTTAGATTGAAGCTAACATAGTGCTTTTTGGTAGAGCCTACGTGTCATTATGAATGATGAGCTCTCAACTATACCTGCGGACTGCCTTCATGTGTAAGTTTCCATTATTAGCATTTTCAACAACTTATGTTTTTTTTACTGCTTTCTTCTCATTCTCTTGACTGTATTCCTTTTTATGTTATTTTTATTCCTTTATGTTGCAACCCGCATACTTATATTTATCGAAGCATTAGAGTTTTCTTTTTTCTCTGTATCTGATCACTGCAAAATTATCATACTTGTTAAGTGAATATTAATATTATCTATTAAAATAGAAATTGAATATTCTAATTATCTGAAGAATACCACCCAATAGATTTTTGAGTTGATACTATATTAGTGGTGCTATAAAGATGACGTATGTAATGATACACACACTATGAAGTTCTCCTAAGTGGAGCTGAATTATGTCACTATGCCACTAAACATTATAGTTGTCTTAATAACATGACCTTGAGTTCTAGAAAGATGGAGCCAGAGTGGGGGCATGAAATGCTTTTTTATTTTATTTTATTTATAAAAATAAAAATAAAAAATCGTATTTTGGGAAGAAAAAAAATACTAGTTCAGATTGCTAACTAGAGGTTCTGTATGAATCATGGTATGTGATTATATATATGGGTATCTGCATGTGTGTTATAACAACCTATTATCTGAAAATATATTATTTGTATTATCAACACTCCCAGCACGTGTGTAAAACTCCTCTCCCATGAGTTGGACAAACGTGTGTATTATTATTAGGCAACCACTTGGCCCATATTTTAAAGTTGTTAGATGGAGTAGTAACTTTAATAATTATATCGTCAACGTGTGTTATAATGCCTTTATAATAATAATCATCATAAGGATTGAAGATGAGTTTTATGTCTTATAGTATATATATTTGGTAAATAAAACCCTAATAAATGGTGAGTAGCAGTTTTTGGAGATGCAGGGTATCGAACCCTATACCTCTGGCATGCAAAGCAAGCGCTCTAATATTTGAGCTACATCCCCATATGCCGTCTTTAAGTACGTTTCTTGATGCATATATTAATAAATGGCGCAGAATCTGAAAATGAAAGCTTATGTGATTTGGTGGTTGCGTGGAGTTCTTACAACAAAGTTGATCTTGAGTTTGATCCCTCTGTTTTAGTAAAATTAATAAATTCCAACTAATTGTAGTTAGTTACATTAATCTTGTTTCGTTATTCTACTCTATCTAGAGTCTTAACCTCTATCAAACCAACCACGTTCTATTGTATCTTTCCTTATGATTTTAATCCATGTTAGTTCTGGGCTTCCCCTTCTCCTAACTACGCTCAATATGGACCAACCATTCTTCTTTACTAGTGCAATTATTGGTCTTTGCTGCACATAGTCAAAGCATCCTTGTCTTTTTTTTTTCTCGGTTTATTTCCAATTAGTGCTGTTTCAACTTTCTCCAAAATGTACTTGTAATTTTTTATTTTTTATTTTTAATCTTTCCAATTTTACCAACATCTATCTCAACTTTCACATTTCTACTAATCTCATTTTATGATGTGTTATTTCTTAGCCGCCCTTATTCTTTTTGGTAAATTGTGTCTAGTCTAGTAACTGCTGTAGTAAAAGATTTATTTTTAAATTTTAGTGGTGTACATCGATCACAATTAAGTAGAGAATTTATCTTTAATTCTGTGATTAACATTTTCTTCAATCTTCTATCTTTGTAAATCATCGAGTCTTGATAACAAAAGTGTTCACTTTTTGGCTATCATGTCTCAATGTTCACAATATCCCCACTTCTATGTCTAGTTTTCCTAACTTACATTTCCCTATATTCAGTTATCCAATGCTTCAGCTTCGGCTTCGGCTTCAGCTCTGTTTAAAGAACTCCGTCTGCATGTAGCCTTAAAAGGCCTTTGCTTGCCTTCTGAAGGGGCTGCGGAGAATGTATCTGTTAGTTTCATGCGTGTAGCTTTTGGAAGGTCTTAACTGTTTGCCAACTACAAGGACTGAGGAGAATGCACCTGTTAGATATTTGGCTAATGTAGTAGAAGACTATATCACAGGTTCGGTGTTTGACAATGGGGGAGATACTGAAGATGATGATGACCTCGGTTCTATACAACAGGTTTACTCTAATGAGCTAGCCCTTTGGTTGGAGGATGAATGTGCCAATGTGGAACCTTTGGCCGTTTTGCAACCTGATTCTTCTGCAGATATGGGAAAGGACTGGGTGATTGATAATATAGGAGCCACTAGCGAGTTGCTGGGTGTCTCATCAGAGGGTAATAACGATCAGACTTTATCTATCCTTCATGATATAGTGGAAGGAAGAGAGATTGCTGTGACCACTGAGATAATGAACACCGGGCCTTTATCGTCTTGGAAGGGGGCACACGAGGTCAAGAATCTGATTTCTAAAGTTAACTATGAAGGGAAGAAAGGGGTGGGGAAGGAAAGGGGAAGGACCAGAAGTAGGAGTTTAAAGAAGGGGGGAGGGGAGTTAATCTTATCTGGTTCTTAATGAAGCTACAAATTATTACTTGGAATGTTCGTGGTCTCAATTACCCAAATAAGAGGAGGGTGGTGAGGGTAGCTTTAAGGAATTGTGGGGCTCGGGTGGATTGTTTTCAAGAAACCAAGATGACATCCATTTCTGACGGGGTGGTTAGAAGCTTGTGGGGAGGAAGGTTTGTGGAATGGGAGGCTTTGGATGCTACAGGTTCTTCGGGTGGAATTTTAGTTATATGGGACAGCAAATGGTTGTCTAGAATGGATGTGTGGATGGGGAGATTTTCTGTTTCCTGTGAGTTTAAAATGGAAGAGGATGATTTCATATGGGTCTTTTCTGGGGTCTATGGACCGCTTGTTGATAATGAGAGACCTATTTTTTGGGAGGAGCTAAGCCATGTTCAAGGAATGTGGCCTCTCCCTTGGTGTTTGGGTGGGGACTTCAATTTTGTTAGGCCCCCGTCAGGGATGTCTACTGGGGCAAGGAGGTCCTTAGAAATGGATCAGTTTTCCGACTTCATTGATGAGCATCTTCTCATTGATCTACTAATGGAAGGTGCAGCCTTTACTTGGTCTAGTGGCAAGGATCCAATTACTCTCTCAAGACTGGACAGATTTTTGATCTCTAGGGAGTGGGAAGAAAAATTCCCGGATGTTGTTCAGGTGGTCTTAGCAAGGGTTACCTCTGATCATGTTCCTTCGCTTTTGGATTGTGGGGGTTTGTGTTCTTGCAAAACCCCGTTCCAATTTAAGAATATGTGGTTGAGAACGGATGATTTCCAAGGGAAAGTTCGATCTTGGTGGGAGGGAGCGATGGTTACAGGTGCACCCTGTTTCATATTAACACAAAAGTTAAGAGCTCTCAAATTCAATCTAAAGCAGTGGAATAAGGACGTTTTTGGGAATCTTGAATGGAGAAAGAATAGAATCCTTACGGAATTTTCTGAAATTGATCGTCTTGAGGAGGTGGGTGGAGATATGGAGTCTCTTTGTACTAGGAGAGCTTCCTGTCAGGCAGTTCTTGCTGAGATTGCTAGTATGGAAGAGATTTCGTGGCGACAAAAATCTCGGACTCTTTGGTTGAAAGAGGGGGATCGTAACACAAAATTTTTTCACAGACTAGCTAATGCTCATAGAAGGAGTAATCACATTGGACGCATTCGGGTGGAAGGTGTGGAGCTGTGGAGGGAGGAAGAGGTGTGTAATAGGATAGTTTCTTTTTATCAGAAGCGTTACACAGAACCATTAGGTTGGAGACCCAAACTTGATGGACTCCCTTTTGAGGCTATTTCTAAGTTGGAGAGAGATGGGTTAGAGCTTCCTTTCACTGAGGAAGAAGTTCTAAAAGCCTTATCAAGTTGTAATGGGGATAAAGCTCCAGGGCTTGATGGGTTTACTATGCGTTTTTTGATGGAAAGTTGGGCGGCAGTGAGAGATGAGGTGATGGGTACCTTTCAGGAGTTTCATTCTACTGGTGTCTTTGAGAAGTCGCTTAATGTATCATTTATTGCACTCATCCCTAAGAAGGGAAGCGCTTCTGACATTAAGGATTTCCGTCCTATTAGTTTGGTGGGTTGTATTTACAAACTTATAGCTAAGGTGCTTGCTCAAAGGATGAAAGAAGTTATGGATGGGATTATCTCAAACTCCCAGAATGCTTTTGTTGGAGGTCGGCAAATTCTTGATTCAGTTCTTATTGCAAGCGAATGTGTGGATTCAAGATTGCGCAGTGGCGTTCCTGGAGTTCTATGCAAACTTGATATTGAGAAAGCTTATGATCATGTAAACTGGAATTTTCTACTCTATTTGGCTACAAAGAATGGGGTTTGGAAGCAAATGGAGGAAATGGATTGAGACATGCCTTTCGTCTGTCAAGTTCTTAATTCTTGTGAATGGTTCTCCTGCTGGTTTTTTGGGGCGTTCTCGGGGAACAAGACAAGGTGATCCATTGTCATCTTTCCTCTTTCTTATTGTTATGGAGGGCCTTAGCAGACTTATGGGCAGGGTAGAGAATCTTGGGCTCATTAAGGGATTCAGGGTGGGAAGAGATATAGACCATCAGGTGGAGATTTCTCATTTGCTATTTGCAGACGACACTTTGGTTTTCTGTGATGCAGATGTGTGTCAACTTAGATATTTGAGGTGCATCCTGGCTTGTTTTCAGGCGGTTTCCGGGCTAAAGGTAAACGTGGCTAAGAGTGAGCTTGTCCCGGTTGGGAATGTTCAAGATATCTCTTCTTTAGCGCAGTACTTGGCTGCAGAGCTAGTTCCTTTCCTATTCCTTCTTTAGTTTGCCCTTAGGGGTCTCCTCAAGGTTAGTGGGGAGTTGGGATTCTGTGCTTGACAGGTATGCAAAGAGGTTGGCTGGATGGAAAAAGCAATATTTGTCTAAGGGGGGCAAAGTAACTCTTATCAAGAGCACTTTATCTAGTCTTCCCACATATTTTCTTTCTATGTTCCAAATTCCATGCTCCATTGCTGAAAGGATTGAAAAAATTCAAAGGGATTTTCTTTGGGGCGGAAGGGGAGAATAGTTCAAGTATCACCTTGTCAGATAGGGGAGCGAGTTTGCA